TTAGTATTTCTATCCTTATTTCTTCTTTAGAAAAAGTACTGACTAATGCTCTGGAGGAGTGTCTCATACTATTACGTCTCATCAAATGGATTTTTTTTTAACTTAATTATGAGTAAATACTTTTCTTGTCAAAAAGGACAGCAAAAATTATATGTACTCACAGCAAACTGTCTCCTATAAATGCGGATTAGGCTTTTTTATGCTCATAATGTGCACCGAGACCGCAGTCATTTTTTAGGACCGTGTAATTGCGAATCGCTACGTAAAAATCAAGGATGGTATCCAGAAAATGTTGTACATTGATGATTTGCGCATATCAGATTCCGGTGATTATGAATGCATCCTGACAAATAAAGATGATGCACGAGATATTCGGCATAGCGTGTATCACTTACAAGTTTCGCCGACGAAAGGGCAGCTAAAATTTGTGGATGCATCGAATGATATCGAATTGGAAGAAGGTGGAACAATTCGCTTATACCACATTGCGAGATCATTTCCAGACGATGAATATGATTCCGAATGGCGAAAGGTTGTTGGTCAAATTCACTCCCTATTGACTTACACTGACCTCATCAGACGAGTTAAAAATTACGTGAGTCTGTAAATAAGAAATCAGCTAAGTCAACAAAACATCAAGTTTCTTCAGTCAACGACATTTGCACACAGTCGTTTGTAAATTATTGGAAGGTAAATACAGGTCTACTCATTTTGCATACCGCACGTGCGCAAGCTGCGGTTTCGCCGACCACTCGCCCAGTTAAACTTTTAGGTGTTTATTGATATAACTGTTAGCCTCAGACTTTTATGCCACTCAGGCCAAAATTCGAGGTGATCCAACAATCTTTTTTTTTTTTTCAAAACGGGATGGACAAAAGATTTATTATCTCACCAGCTGATGAGAAGTAAATAATCGGAAATTAGGTTGCACATTTCACACCATTATCATTACGAAGTAGCATTACTTTTGTGATGCACCGATGCTTTCGCCCACTACAAACTGCAGCGTGCCACCACGAAAGTGCACGATTACACCAGCGCTCTTACTCGTCTTTGAACTAAAATCAAACTTTTACATTTATTGATTTATTTGATTCCTGAAATACATACTTGAAAAACTTTTTGCTGTAAAGTAAAATATAAAGCTCGCAAGTTTTTCGGGAATGTATAGCACGCACGGGAGCTAAGATTTGGCTCAATTTGACAAGGATTGCTTGCGAAGCAAGGGCAAGCCAATAAAGTGGTACAGGAATATGTAGTACAGTGAGTGCGACTGTTGCTATCTAGAAACATGTAGAACAAAAATTTAAAAAAAAGAAAAAAAAAAAACTGGCCATTTGTCAGTTCATCGCCGCGGCGCCAAGTTCTTTTTGTT